TGGGCTATATGTATTTCTAACAAAATTCCCACCTATGCATATAATACAATAAAAATTAGTGTTTTGGATTGAATTCTTCCATTCTTATTCCAATTTACACTCACACAAAGAAGTTACCAGGATGTAGAAATATCCAATGAGTGGAACTGTAGTTCTAGAGCCCTGACTGGGTATTTGAAAGTCAAAGCTGAAAAGTGAGCCTTCCTTGCCTAGACCAGAGACCTCAGTTTAATGACCTGCTTCTCTTCACAGAATTCTTATCCTGTCTGATCATTCTCTGACTCTTGTGACATTTTTCTATCCTCAAAGAAAATGTGATCTTCCCCTGTAAGAGGGTTATATTCTGCAACTCTAATCAAAGAACATTGGTTGATGTAATTTTTGGCTAAAGCTCAAGAAATAGTTCCCATTTTTTTAATCTACTCATTCAATAAAATAAAAATTTTTAGGCAATAACTATGAATTTTTAGGCAATAACAAAGAGTCTGAAAAACTCAGTATCGGAGCTGAAGAGATAGTACGATTAGTAGGACATTTGCCTCTCATGAGGTTGATGCAGGTTCGATCTCCAGTACCCCATGTAATTATTTTAGTCCCAGCATGAGTGATATGAGTGTAGAGCCAACAGTTAGCCCTGATCACCATTAGGTGTGCCTCCACACACCCAAAAGACAAAACCAATAAATAAAAAATGACAGTTTCTTGCAGTAAGTAAAAGAAAGCCAAAATACTTAGAATTTTCTATTAAAACAATTGCTCATGCTTATTATAACATATACATATAATATGTGCATATACATATATTTATATAGATATGTATGCATGCACATTTATAATATGTGCATGTTCATATATATTTTTCTAAGAATACTAATAATTTCCTACTTTTTTTTACTTTAGCTCCTTTATGACCACATCATTTTCTAATCTTTCCTTCACTCAACCAGATTCTTCCTTAACTTTATTTTCAATTGAACTCAAGTTGATGTCATGCAAGTGCCCTTTCTGTTATGCTATGACTCTGGCTAGATTTTTATATACTTTTATTATTGACTATCTCTCTAATGTTTAACACATTTCTCTTTATATACCATCACATTCCAGGAATTATAGTTAGCAGCTTCTGGTCTGAGAGAATCATACTGCCTCTTTAAGAAGAATCTGAGTCTCTCTTTTTTTTTAATCAATGCATTTAATTTTAGTGTCAAATTTAGAAAATAACACTTATCTTCTAGCCAAGTAATGTAATCACTCTATCTTGACAATACTTAGTCATTTGTATATACACATATTATACAGAGCATATTTATTTTGTACATTGGAGCACATAAAATGTGTAACTCTGAACTACTAGTTCACAGTTTCTCTTATTTATCTACTTGTATAGGAATCAAAACCAGGATATTTTAAGGTAGTAAGAGAAGAACATTGGCCTGAAGTTCATTCCGTTTAGCTAGTTCCCTCCCTTTCTGTAACTCTGTGTAGAGGAGAGTCCTTATCTGTGACCACAGTTTCTGACCCCACCCAGCTATCATTGACTGAGTCTGCAGAAAAAGGAAAACACCAAATTTGCCTGCCTCTGTTAGTCAAAATAATGGAATAAAATAAATATCCCTAAAACAACATAAGACAAAAGAATAAAGTAAGAAGAAAAGAAAGAGTAAGTGGAAAAAGAAGAAGAAAAAGACTGATGACTAAAGTGTGAGTGAGACCAGGATGCAGAGAACTACATTATAGGTTTATTTAAGACTCTAAGTCATTCCTTTCCCTCAAAGACACCTCAAACTCAATAAGGTGAAAGATAGGCACCTGGCTTAGAAAAGGATCATTTTGGGGCTAGAATAAGAGCTAAGGAAGATCAGAAAGAGTAACCATTAACTGCCCGCAGTACTAGGTCGTATGAAGCAAAGGACCCTGTTTCTTAATAATTTTTATTAGTATGTAGAGGTCTAAACATAATCATTGCTACTTCCATTTTATCCCTCATCATCAAATTTCAAATTTATCCCTTCCCCAAAATAATTGTAGCTATTTTAATTCAGAAAAGAGGTAATTCTTTGCTTCAATATTGAATATCTGGACAAAGTCTTACTTTTTACTAAATAAAAAATAAAGCAATTTTGTACTCATTTTAAAAGTTAAAAGTTACAAAGTAAAAACATATTCAATTTTTTTGTAAGCAGAAGTGGAATCTTAGCATAGAATAAATCTTTTCCACTATATGTGGAAATTGGATTTAAAACAGTCTCAATTGACACCAACTAGAAATTTAAATATTAGATTGATGCATACTTCTGGAGTACTATATTTTAACAAAGTTCATAAATTACTAATATTTTTACATTTTACATTTGAGAAAAAAACTATGAGATTAGAATGACCTATGCTAATGCAATATGCAAAAGAAGAGAAACTCTTTTTAAAATTTTATTGAATCACCGTGATATAGTTACAAGTTTTCATGTTTGCGTTACAATCATACAATGATCAAACACCCATCCCTCCACCAGTGCACATTCCTCACCACCAATATCCCCGGTATACCCCACTTTTCCCATCCTCCCCCTGCCTCCATGGCAGACATGATTCCCCATAATCTCTGTCTACTTTTGGGCTTTATTTTGCTGCATAGCTACTGAGAGGCCATCATGTTTGGTCCTTTATCTACTTTATGCCCACATCTCCCATTTCTACCTCATGTTCTGAGTTTAAAACAAGACTGCAGTCTCTGAATTAGAAATACAGTGGAATATACTCATGAGGTTTATTCAGGAAAAGAATTGCTTTCTAAATTTATAGTTTTATGTGGTTTGGTTCTTATTCTCTGAAATTTAATAATGTTTAATCTTTGCAAGACCTGAAGAGGCACAATAGCCTTTACATTCTGGATCTATAAAAAATATACCTTGGAAACCTAGAACCCCGCCTTTAGTGATTAAAACAACTCATATTAATTGCTGTTCTAGTCTTCTTCAAGTAGGTAACTATTCAAATTGCTTCACTCTTTTTTTTTTTTGTGCTAGCATTTTTTTTTTTTTATTAGTGAAGCACCATGAGGTACAGTTGTAGATTTACAAATCTTTGTGCCTGAGTTTCGGTCATACAATGATCAAATACCCATCCCTCCACCAGTGCCCATTTCCCCCCACCCCCCCTCCCACCCTGCCTCTGTGGCAGGGCATTCCCCTTTGTTCTCTCTCTCCTTTTGGGTGTTGTGGTCTGCAAAAGAGGCATTGAGTGGCAATCATGTTCAGTCCATAGTCTACTTTCAACATGCATTTCCCCTCCTGGGAGGATCCTCCAAACACCTTTCATTTGGTGTTCCCTTCTCTATCTGAACTGCCCTTTCCCCTAGAATATCCGGCTGGCCTCTAAGTTATGGAGTAATCCTCCTGGTGTTGATCTCAGCTATTCTTAGGTATTGATCTCATATTTTGTTGCTTTATATCCCCCAGATGAATGCAATTTTTCTATGTCTATCCCTCTCTTTCTGACTCATTTCGCTTAGCATGATACTTTCCATATTGTACCACTTGTATGTAAATTTCATGACTTCATCTTTTCTAAGAGCTATGTAGTACTCCATTGTGTAGATGTACCAGAGTTTCTTTAACCATCTAATCTTTGATAAAGGTGCAAGAAATGTGAAGTGGAGTAAGGAAAGCCTCTTTAACAAATTGTGCTGGCATCACTGGATGGCTACATGCAAAAAATGGGCTCAGAACTCTGCCTAACACCATGTACAAAAATAAGATCAAAATGGATTAAAGACCTCAACATCAGACCAGAAACCATAAGGTACATTGAAGACAAAGTTGGCAAATTGCTTCACTCTTGACTTAGAGACTTTTTTGGGTTTTGAAGAAGAAAAAAAGTTAAAGCATTTGTGAAGATCATAGTCTATGAGCACTGACCCACCAAAAATTCAGATTTAAAGATGCAAATAAAATGCAAATAAAATAATTTTTCCTCAATCCCTTACTACACTTACTATGACATCATTATAACAGTATATTATACTTTAATAGTTGTAAAGCAGAGAACTATTTTATGATGGGTACTTTAGCAGCCCAACAAGGAAAGGGAGACAACACATCAGAGCAATTTGAAGTTTCAGTGTATGGCTACAGCATGCATTAAACACACATATATGCACACAGTTCCTCCTCAGTGGACCAACTGATTTATTTCTCATTTTGACCATAAGTCTAATTTTAGGTAATCCCATGCTCCTTAGCTGCCTGACTTGTTAAAGATATATATATATATATATACATATATATATACACATATACATATATATATATTCTAAATATGAGAGCCCAGGGCAATCTTGCTACAGCAGTCAATTCTCCTTGCAGTCACAGAGAAATAAATAGAGAGTCTGTTCCCAGGAAGCACAGGATGAAGTTTTTTCGGTCTGCCCTCTCTGTAAAATCATCGTCATTAAAGTACTTTCAGACTGAGGTCATAGTCCTGTGTTGGATTCCTTGATACTCCAGTCTTGTGTTTATTCTTGGAAAACTAAAGTCTAGCAATTAATTCATTTCACAAGAGAACAAAAACTGCTGAGATGCTATGTCAAAGATTGTCTTTCTTTTTCCATGACTCTCTTCTTATCCTTGTTACCAACAGTAGCCTAAATATTAGTTTTTAATGGAACTTTTCCTATCTTGAGGATACCTCTTCTCAATGGAGTTTTCCTGGAGAAGGAAAATAGGAAAGGTGAATGAGATTACAATGGGAGAGAAGATAAAAAGTGAAAAATGAATGGAAAGTAATGTGAGGGGGAGAAAGGAAAAGTTTGACAGGACCCAACCCACATTATCGCGAACTCAATGTCCTTTCCTTACAGCTGACCCTTTGCTGGACTGACTCCACCCTTGAAGGACACAGCTCTGCCTTGACCAATGGCTTCAAAGGATTAAGTGGAACGAGGGGCCAGAAGGGCAATGGTACAGAATAAAAAGGTCACATCTTCCAGCAGTAGCACATTCGGCTTCTGCCACTTCTCTGAGAACGCCTAAGTTCACAGACCTGACACCATGGTGCATTTCACTGCCGAGGAGAAGAATGTTATCACTAGCCTGTGGGGCAAAGTGAATGTGGAAGAGGCTGGCAGTGAAGCCCTTGGGAGGTAAGATCTGAAATGTTGAAGAATGGGAGTGGATGGCAAGATGAGTCTGGAAAACGGAGATCAAACTCTCCAGGATTTTTGAGAATTATCTCAATTTTACATCTTGCTATGATTTTGTTTTATAGGCTCCTGGTTGTCTACCCCTGGACCCAGAGGTTCTTCGACAGTTTTGGCAACCTGTCCTCTCCCTCTGCCATTATGGGCAACCCCAAGGTCAAAGCCCATGGCAAGAAGGTGCTGACCTCCTTTGGAGAAGCTGTTAAGAACATGGACAACCTCAAGGCTACCTTTGCTAAGTTGAGTGAGCTCCACTGTGACAAACTGCATGTGGATCCTGAGAATTTCAGGGTGAGTTCAACAAAGCATTCATGTGCTTTTTTTAAATATAAATGGAAGTTGATACTTTAATTAGAAAGACAATAAATATCTAAGGAATATGGATCATACTTATAGGGCAGAGTTACATGAACATAACCAAAGCCATGTAATTCAGGGACTCGTGACAGGAAAATGCTAGTAGAAGCCTGAATTTGCTTAAAACTTTTCAAGGACTTCTGTTAGAACTGAATGTGATAATACCAGAGAATAGTATCAAACAAAAGTAGTTGTGTTTGAAAAATAATAGAATTTGGATTTTGATAGATGTAGACATGATTTATGGCAGGAATAAACGATATAGGTGGTTAAAATAGTTTAAAATTAAAAAGAAGCTTTGGAGAAATATTTGATTGTCTCAAAGAAAAATATTTTGCTATTTTGTAAATATATGTTCATTTTATTTTGTAAAATATATTCAATGACTTGTCAGTACTGTGATAAAGTTGAGGTATATTCTTGTATTGGTTGGAGAGTTTAACTAAATTCATGCCGAGACAGTATACAGCCATGAATATATGATTACAAAAGATCATTCAATTAAGAGTAGACAGAAAGTAAATAAAAATGGTGACATGGAAGAGAAGACTGAGCTACATGTAGGCAGAATATTGAATGGAGTTGTCATTAAATTTAACAAAATTTAAGAATTTTTATTTGAATTATTGGATAACAATCCTTTAAATAATGTAAGTTGCAACTAGTTAGAAATATAGGTATCAAGTCATTATTTTTTTCTGCAATTGAATTTGAATACTTCTAATATTCTTATTGATTGCTTTTTCTTTTAAATAACAGCTCCTGGGCAACGTGATCGTGATTGTTCTGGCTTCTCATTTTGGCAAGGAGTTCACCCCTGAGGTGCAGGCTGCTTGGCAGAAGCTGGTGTCTGGCGTTGCCACTGCTCTGGCTCACAAGTACCACTGAGTCCACTTTGCTGTTCCCAAGTGCCCTTTTGTGTTCCCAGTGACAACTTTGTGTGGGGCTTGGGATTTGGTCTCTAGAGCATAATGTCTGTTTAATAAAGTGCATTCTACTCATTAATCAGAAATCACTATTTTTTTCTTGTCTGTTTTTTAAACTTGTGACTTATGGGGAGAAATGGTTTATGGCTAAAATGGGTATCATACAAAGAAAGAAGCAGAAGTGACTTTGACAAGCATATGGGGATTCATAAAGAAAGATAGGCATTTTGAAAGATTTCTGGGGGGTCTGATAGTGCAAAGGCAAGGAAGAAGTCTAATGGGGGTGGGTAAAAGATAATTAGCAAGTGAGGACTTATGGGGAGACTGGGATAAAAACTGCCTGAAAAAGAATTTATGGTGCATGACAAAATCCATTTAAAAAGAAGTTTTGTAGGGATCCGAGACCAAGGGTAGTATTACTATTTTAATTACTCTAACATACATTTTAAATAAACTAGGCTTGTGAATCTCTTGTGAGATTGAATTGGATATAGATGAGTTGAGGATTGACAGAAAAGTCTCCATGAAGGATCAATAGCCTTTTTCTCCTAGTGGATTCCACAGGATCACTGGAAAGGCAAGACTGACAAAGGAAATCACTTTTGGGCATTGTCATCAGATTGTAAGTGCCTTAATTTAGTTATATTTCGGATATAGAATGAATGAACTTTTGTGGGGAAAATAACCAAGAAAATGTAATAACAAGAGATCATAACCTAAACCAAACTCTTTCTTGCTCCTCTCTTGTTTTGACTGTAAATGCCAAGGACATAAAAGCATAGATCAGGAAGGGGGGTGGTCATATGATACACTCATTATCCTTCAGGGAATTAAATTTAGAGCAGATTATACCAGTTCAAGAGAGTTTGGAAATTTAAACTTAACAAATGGCATACATGCACACAGACATGGAGATTTAAAGAACTAAGAAGTGTGTGTGTGTGTGTGTGTGTGTGTGTGTGTGTGTGTGTGTGTGTGTGTAGGGGAAGGAGGCATACTCACCAGTACTTAGGCTTTACTCCTGGATCTTTGTTAAGTGATCACTTTTGCCAATGCTCTAGGGACTGTATGTAGTACCATAATAACTCTTCATTTTTTGGGCTCAGCCTTTTAGCAAAAAGAAGACTATGCTTAGGTCAAACTTCACCACAGAATATATAGAGGAGAAGGACAAAGAAGAAAAGAAATGCAGGTGGGGAGGAGGAGTAAGGGGAAGAAGATAGGAAGTTATGGGGTCAGGTGTCAAAGGCCTCCAGGACATTCATGGTACAGAGGAGTGTATAGCTACATATCCAAATTGCAGAGTCAATGATAATGAAAGCCACAGATCCTAATCACAACAACCAAATTTAACCACTGAAACTTTGTAATATGCCTATAAAGTTGACAGGTGGGGAATGAAGAGGGGGTCCAAGGTGGCAATGGAATATGGGAAAGTTGGTAGGGAAAGCTGACTCTGATGATGGGATAGTGAGGATCATTGCATGTTTAAATTTCAGCTATGTTTAACTTTTTAAGTCATGATGCCTTAATAAATGATTTTTAATTAATCAAATATTAATAGATAATCCCAGAATTTAATACTACAAAATGCTATCAATTTACATATCCACAGAAACTTTGTTACTATCGCTCTGAATCTTTACCAGTGTTTGTTATTATTGGATTTTATAATTATCACTGACTTATGAATATAATGGCATGTTCTTCTAACTTGCATTCTCTAATTGAAAACTCATGGTTACATATAATAATGTATATAAATTATGTATAGTGCTCATTTGTATTTCTAATTTTTCTTGTTATTATTACTTTCAAACAAATTATAATTTAATTTAAAAAAGAAAGGATGACTAATTATTTTAATAGGCAGTGAAGCCACCTAAACTAAATAATGGCCATTACCAGGATATTGGGGCTGGAGTGATAGCACAGCGGGTAGGGTGTTTGCCTTGCATGCAATCTTCCTGGGTTCGATTTCTCCACCTCTCTTGGAGAGCCCAGCAAGCTACTGAGGGTATCCCACCTGCATGGCAAATCCTGGCAAGTTCCCCGTGACATATTTGATATGCCAAAAACTGTAACAGCAAGTTTCACAATGGAGACGTCACTGGTGCCCTCTCAGCAAATCGATGACAACAGGAGGACAGTGGACAGACAGACCAGGATATTACAGGAGTATTAATCTAAGAGTAATGGGATTTAAGATAACTGAGGGCATAGTCTAAAACTATACCATTACCATATTTAAATATTATATTCTCATTTCTCACCTTTAAAGTTAAGGTCTAAGTTATTGAGCTATATTTCTTCTAGTCAATATTTCCTTCAATGCTCAATTTTTTCTAATTACAAATCAACTGCACACTACAATTTGACTTTACCTTTCTCAAGGTTTGGGATTTGCTAGGCAAAAATTCATAATTTTTTAAACATGATTTATTATTTTCCGTTTTATGTCACTATTTATTTATTTTTGGTCACACTTGGCAGTGCTCAGGACTGAGCATGTGGTACTGAGGCTAATCAGTCAAAAGCTAATTGGAGGGAAGAATGAGAAGGTTCTCCTGGCTCTGGACACTGGGATTACATTTGGTGGTGCTTGTGGAACCATAAGTGGTGCCAGGGAGCAAGGCTGAGTTGGCTGCATGCAAGGCAAGCATACCTATCTACTGTACTTGTCTCTCTGGCCCAATTTTCATAATTTCTTTCTCAATATCTTGGTATTGCAGGATTCTTTTCATTCTTGCCAAAGTTCAAATATTATCTCCTTAAGATGCTTCTAGATGCAATCATATTGTTATTTCCTTAAGTTCAGATAGGAATTTTCACAACAAATAACAATATTTTATAATATTTTAATAACTGCATATTATTTACTTCTGTGTATACCATATACAAATTAAATTTTTAAAAATAATATTATAAAACTTAAATAATATATAAATCAATGAAATACAAAAAATACAAAATTTGTCTCAGTTATCTTAAATCCCTAGTTCTTAGAACAATTATAATAGATACTAATATATGAGACTATTGCAATATATGAGACCCTGCAATATATAGTTACATATATGAGGAAAATAGGACTTATAGATAATTATTTAACTAGGGTTCAAAAAAAGTAGGGGGTGTATATGCAAACAGGAGAGGTAAAAGGCATCCAATTTGGAGGAATAATCAAATTTAAATAATGTAAAGGTTTTCAGAGACTTAAGAAAAAGCCCTTTGAGGCTGGAGAGACAGTATGGCAGATAAGTTATTTGCCTTGCATACACCCCATCAGAATTTGATCCCCAGCACCCCATAAGTTTCCCTGAGTACTACCAGGAATAATTCCTAAGTTCAAAGCCAAGAGTAACATCTGAACATTGTTGGGTGTGACCCAAATCTTAAAAAAAAAATCTTCTTGTCTTTATGGTCAGGCTCTATAAACTATTCTGTATAATCAAATGAATCAAATGTGGTCAAAGATCAATATACATTTGCCTCACTAAATGAATAAACTTATTTCTGTGTTTGTTCATTCATTTATTTATTTTTCTGGTCCTTGAAGTACTTCACATATGCGAATAAAATGCTCTGCCTTTTAGCTACATTTCTAGCTCTAGTTCTACTCTGTTTCTTTTGATGGGTCTCCTCAGCAATGCTCTGGTGACGGGGGGCCACTTGTGGAGATATTCCACCAGTCAAGCCAGATGGTTTAAGGGTGATAATGTGATGATGTTGCTGGAGTGCAAACTACTTTGGAGGTCACCAGAGCCACCTGTGTTGTTCAGGGGTCACCAAGCCATGTCTAATGACCTCCCTGGCTGTACCTGGCAGTGGTCAGTGAACATGAGGTGCCAGGAATAAAACTCCAAAGCTGAAAATGCAAGGCTTACTCTCCACTACTTTGAGCTACCTTTGACCCTGAACCCCCCTACCCCTTTGTGAAAATCTAAACTGGATTTCCATAGACTCTATGTCCTAAACTTCTATACTAATCAAAATATATTTTATGTAGACTTAGATTGTGAGAGACAATATTATGGCTATAGAACTGTAGCACTGTCTTCCTGTTGTTCTTTGATTTTGCTAGAGTGGGTACCAGTAACATCTCCCATTGTGAAACTTGCTGTTACTGATTTTGGCATATCAAATACATTAGGGGAGCTTGCCAGGCTTTGCCTTGTGGGCAGGAAACTCTCAGTAGTTTGCTGGGCTCTCCAAGAGGGACGGAGGAATTAAACCCAGGTTGGCCACGTGCAAGGCAAAAGTCCTACCTGCTGTGCTATGGCTCCAGCCCAACATTATAGCTATAAATGGAAAATAGTGACTGACAGATTAACAAATCTCATTGCCCAGAAGTTTTAGCCATCTATAGCGATGAAAAGATAGAAATTTTATATAGTCATAAGATTTAAAAAATTTTACTCTGGGCATTATAATTTCAGGAAACATTACAAGCTGGGTGGTAAAATAATTTCAATTTAGAGGTATACTGTAATAGTTAATATTTTGTTCTGCGATAGAGGCAAGTAAAAGCTTTTTTTAAAAGGGTTTTAGTATCAATTTGCTAAGTTTTCACTGAGTTTTCTTATTGTGCTTAAGATTGCTTTTCATTTCTATGACTTCAATGATCTTTTATTTTTAAGAAAGTCCCTCTTTGACCAGAAATCTTATCCTTCTTTTAAAGTAAAAGTAAGTCTTCCCTTATCTCTAAAAGCTGATAGCAAACTCTCAGTTAAAAGTCACAACTCAGTTACATCTCAGTTACTCTCCATCCATAAAGAAAGGATTTCTTCTCTGAAAGCAGAAATTAAACTTTAATATTTGAACTAATACTTGAGCTATTTTTACTAACTCTGTAAATGGATACAGATTCTTAAACATTATTTTTTATGTCGGAGTATTGATATTTATTAACATTATTTTTTATAGGGATCTCTTTTTAAAAAAACTAAGAAACTTTCTGTATCTCTTAATGCAGGAATAATAAACTCTGAGATGGAAAAAAATTCCCCTTCTCACTGAAAATATGATATATAGTTCTATAAATGTTTGCTGAAATTCATGGGACCAAAGTTAATTAAGTCACAGGGTGCATTCCTTCTAT